ATTAAATTGATTCCATTATTTAAGCAGTTATGCTGGCATTATCAAAGTGGGAAATAGTGTTAACAGAAATTAATCATTTCATACATACATTAATGACCATCCTTACTGTTAAAAGTCAGAATCAAGGACAAATGGAGATCTATTCGTAAGGACATCACGTTTAGTAGCGGAAATACCTATCAGAAAGTTATCTTGGGAAGTCCAATGGACGGATAACCCTGAAGTTGCCGATGAAAAATTTGTTCACCGAGTAGTTATTGTCTTAAAGTGGCCGTTGTGTTACAGAAATGAATTGTCGCCGATCAGAATCGGTCGATATGACTATAATATTAACATTTCGATATTTAAGTTCACAAAACATCTACCGAGAAAAGGCTTATGGAACAATGGTACTAAAGTAGCAACAAACAAAAGTCTATCATTTGACGTCACAAAAACCTCAACGTTTTACGCATTTTCCAAATTAATTTGCATAATTTTGATGGTTTTCTCTACTCCATTTTGCACAATACGTCAATTGTTAATGTTTTATATAATTTATACAATAAAATTGATTAATAAGTTGCAGTCAATGTCGAAAGTGTTGTAATCTTCAAGATAAACTTTGTTTTCCTTACACGTATCCACGTGAGTTACAATTTATGTCACCTAAAAATAACATGGAATTGAACTCCACGAATTGAATAGTACGGTAATTTAGTTCTGATTAAATCGTTATCCAGAAGTATCCCACATCCTGCCGCATTAAATTCCGAGATTTAAACTGTGCGCGCTAGAAGAGTGTAAAATGAACGAGCGAATCCCGATATGCAAAATGCTCGTATTATGAATCGAATTAAAATCAATTTTGGGCAGTTGATTGAATCGAAAAATGAGTATTTATCAGTGAATGTTTCGTTCCTTCGGTTGAAATGTAAAAGAGCCAACAAAATCCTGGCTATTATCCAAGCAACCGCAGTCAGTAGGAGTCGGAAATGGACAAATGAACTCGAGCTCTATCTGAGGTATTCCAAAAAACATTAAAGCTCAAATACTGGTAATTTCAATTACTAATATCGATAAGTTTCACCTTACAATCAGGGCTAAAAATTCCTAGCAACAGTGGAAATTATTATCTGTTAGTCGGAAAGAAATAATTTGCCTCTTCATCTAATAAATGTAATTGTTGCTGGGGTGGACATTGCGCAATTGGGATATTTCACAAAACATCTTTTGTATCATTCAAAAAAATTTTTCATCTTCAACTTTCTTATTCATGAATGACATTTACTTCGCGTATTTTTGTGCAAATCGACATTTTTTGCATACCTAAAGAAAGTTATGCTAACCTTATCATATAGCTGCATCACCAGAATAAAGGATATATTTAGCTGAAGTTAGGTAA